AGAGAGAGAGAGAGAGAGAGAGAGAGAGGTGGGAAGTGAGAGAAGAGAAGGCGGTGGACGGAGAAAGTATCCACAATTGCTGGCATCGAATGCTGGAACCTGGATTCGCATTTCTCTTGCAGAATTCCGAGAGATCTGATGCTTTTCGCCGGCGGTATTTGAGCTAAAAAAGAGCTGCTCTGCGTTTTCTCTCCTTCATCCCGTTAGAGAGGAGCTGAAGCATAGCCGGAGGGATGGCTGGAAGGGTACTGGATTCTGCTGGTTCTCCCGATGGAAGATAACTGAGGTCCAGAGGTTCGACATGCTCGTTTCTTTCTTCTCGTTTTGATGGGGTAGTTTCATTTTGTCTAGGGTTCATGATCTGGCCACTTTGGCTGAATAAAGCAATAGATTTGGTTTTCGATTGTCCCGCTCTTTGGTCGGGCAAGCGTCTGGGTTAAATTGGATTAGGCGCTTTTGTCGTTTTTGTTGTTTGATTTTTATTATTTTTCTATTAAAAAAATATACTTTGATTGTGCAATGGCTTTGGATAAAGGAGGTAAGGAGCTGCTGTTAACGAATCGGTCGTTTTGTTTTTGTTTGAATGGAGGTAGTGAAGTTTTGTAGAATCTGTCGCGATTATTGATGCTGAGATTTTATATTAAAGGAGTTATTGTTACTGCTTCATTCAGCTTTGACGGAGGTTCTGAGAAGCAAAATTTGTGGATTTAGACGAACAAGAATCAGATTAGTTCAGAGTTTTACTGTTCTGAGATGTACTAGTGATTCTGAGCTCTGTTGATTATGAGTATGGCGGCTGATTCTAATATGAGCTTTCATAATGGGGTCTTTCCTTCTTCCTTCTGCAATCAACTTGTAGTTTCTTTCCAATCTGGGGCAGTTAATGGTGCTACTGGTGTTATTCAAGGAGGAATTAACAGTTCGGGAGGGATGAGTGGTTCATCTGGTATGGTGAGGGGGGGAAACCCTAGCGGTGTTTTGAGCAACACATCTTCCATGATTTTGCAAGGGAATTCTCAGAGCAGTTTGTTCCTGGAACCCATGGCTGGTCTGAAGCATGATACAGGTTTAGCTGTTGATTGGTCCTACAAAGAACAGGCTATCTTACATCATGGACTCATCAAGTATGTTACTTATCAACTCTGTTTGATTCATGTTTGGTTTGAATCCTTTATTTAAACTTCTGTCTAATCTATATGAAGGGGTTCCTTGTGTTACATACATAGCATATAATTCTTATGTATTTACATATCTCACACCTAAACTTTCATATTTATACACACAGCACTCAATTCTTTAATATCACATAAAAAATAGCACTATTTTTACTTTTTAAAAGTGAATTACAACTTTTCATGTATAGGCTATGCATGTAAATATGAAAGTTCAAGTGTGAGATATATAAATACATAGATTTGGGTGCTAGGTATGTAAATTTCCCTTTTTTTTCTGTTTTTTTATGTTTTTGTTGTAATAAGAATGCAATTACTTCTTTTACTTGTAACGGACATATGGCTCTTGTTGCAAAACAGAAAATGTTTTCCCCAATGGATGTTTTTGATTTTCTTTTTATAAATTGTTTAAGGAATTGTTGCTAGATTTATGCCTAAACAAATATTTGTTTGCATGCTATTCCCTTCAGATATGCTGATCAACCTAGCATTTTGAAATATATCAAAATTGCTGCACTTTTGCCTGAGAAGACTGTAAGGGATGTCGCATTGAGATGTCGATGGATGAATGTGAGTCTGATTACTTTTTGTTAAAGGAACTCAGTTTTGAGGTTTTCTGTTCCATAATTTACCATAAATTGTGTTAGGATTCTACTTCTTGTAATCTTTTCTTGTTTTTTTTTTTAATTTTTACACTTGTTTCTACTTTTTTTAATTGCTATTGTACATTTTCATCAGAAATAATTTTAATCTTCATGTCTAGAATGGAAAATGGCCCGTCAAGGTTGTTACTAAACCTAATCAAGATTTTTAAAACTGTTTTGTTTCTGAAAGCGCAGAGTATCTTTTGATAAATAAAGAGCCCTTTTTGAAAGATTTGGGTTATTCTCTCTGTCGCTTCATTTTCTTTTATTTGTTTGTGAGACTTGCAATCGTAGATTAAACTGTCATCAGTTATCTTCCCGAACATTATTATTTTTTGGGGACATTTACATACATACCACCCAATTCCTATGTATTTCCATTTTTAACATAAAAATTTTCTTTTTACATTTACACCGCCAAATCCTTCATATCACATAAAATATATCACCATTTTAACTTTTATATGTGAAATACACTTTTTCATGCATTGGTAAGGTGTGTATGTATGTAAAAATAGACGTTTAGGTGTTACATATGTAAATGCATAAGAATTGAGTTGTATGTCTTTAAATCTTCCTGTTTTGTTTCCAACAAATTGAAAGTCATATGTAGTTGTCATCAAGTACCATTTCGCATGAACTTGTTCACCATTAATGGAAATTATATGCTCATACACATTTGCATGCATAGGTAAGGTGGGTATGTATGTAAAAGTTGAAGTTTAGGTGTTAGATATGTAAATACATAAGAATTGAGTGGTATGTTTGTAAATCTTCTTATTTTTTTTTTCCAACAAATTGATGACCATATGTAATTGTCATCAAGTACTATTTCTCATGAACTCGTTCCCCATTATTAGAGATCATATGTTCTTAAGAAAATTTTCAGTGATTTCTTTCTATTTTTCATCAAAATCTTCCATCTTTTAATGCTGATGCTTGATAAGTGTTTGCGGGGAGTAAATTTATGTGCTAATGAGATTCATTGATAGCCATATGTAATCGTCATCAAGTACTATTTCTCATGAACTCGTTCCCCATTAATAGAGATCATATGTTCTTAAGAAAATTTCCATTGATTTCTTTCTATTTTTCATCAAATGTTCCATCTTTTCATGTTGATGCTTGAGAAGTGTTTGCGGGGAGTAAATTTATGTGCTGGTGAGATTCATAATGGCATTATTAACTAATCATGTTGTTCGACCATTGTAAAAATTATATTTTTCCCACGTGAAGTGCTTAATTAAAATAAGTTTGACCGTGTAGCATTTCTTTTCCTCTTTTGTTGAAATAAGATAGAATCTGTTTATTTTACTAGCAATTTAGGTTTTACTGAGTAAAATCTTTTCTGCTCATTTTTACAGAGGAAGGAAGGTGACAAACGTCGAAAACTTGAAGAATTTTACACGGGGAAGAAGATTAAAGATAGAAAGGTGATTTTATCCACCATAGCAGATTTTATAATGTTTGTTTTAGCTCGTGATCCATATTTTCAAGCAAATGTTATCTATTTTGTAATGTAAATAATGTTTTTGTGACATTTGGCTCTTGAGGAGCAAATGTTGTTATGTTTGAGATAATGTTTTTTTTAAAAATAGATAATGCAATTATTTGAAAATGATGAGGTCTATTCTTCTAATTGCAATAAATTGGACAAAAAACAATCCCGACAACAATTATTTTTCAGTTCCAGACAAAATATTTTATTTGATTTTGTACTTTGCTAATTTTTTATTATTACCTTCTCATTATCTTTAACAATATAATAATATATATATATATATATATTAAAGGAAATCGATATTTGGCAGAGGCTCAAATATCGATTTCCCGTGCGCTTTTTGGCCCCATGATGAGAAACTGCTCCATGCGCCTAAAATGATAGAGCCTCCGCGCCACGGTGAGATCAAACCCTTGATCTGAGAGGACTTACAATGACCCCGCCACCAACAAGCCAAGGCTTGCGGCACACACAAAAATTGGGTAGACCATAATAGCTTTGCATTTTGTTTTAAAGTTCTTTATGAGGGAACTACAATTTTTTTTTTTTTAGTTCAATGTTGTATTGCTTGTGCATGCATTTCATGAATAACATTTTTTATTGTTTTTGTTTATAAATTCCTTTTAGTTATAATCTATGATTTGTTGGAACAAGTAACAGAATAAAGGCTTAAATTTGTGGTTTTCATTTTGCTTTGGAATGATAGATTTTTGTAGCATTAATTCATAAATTTTTCTTAATTTTTTCTATTCTTCTAACCTTATGAGCCTTTTTCTTAGTTCTTCTACATTAAACTCAATTACCATTGCTCGTTTGGCTTGCATGAGATCATTATCAATTTTTTTTTGTAAAGGCATATAAATTTTTTTCCAATATTACATAATCTGTCAATCGACAGACACAAAACTTGAAAAAATAGTTTTAATTGACAAGCGAGCTTGTGAAAATTATAACTTCTATCTATATAAAGTGATTATTTTTTAACATCTTATAAAAGCATGCTTTTTAAATTATGAACAATAAAACCAAACATTAAATTTTATTTTTTAAAATAAAGAAAGCTATATATTTGGAACTGTATATTATGTCTAAAAGTTATCAATCACAAACAAACATGATTAATTAAAAGCACTTGCACTTGCTGAATTTGCACTTTTATCTTTCATTCTTTTTCTAGCTAAGACTTGTGAAACATCCTAAATTGTTCAAATGTATATCTATCTATTTAATTTTGAGCTTGCGATATTGATTAAGGGTGCATCATCAGGAAAAGATGGTTAATTCTTCTTCCATGGAGAATATGCATCAACTCAACAATGTAGCGGGCTATCCTTTTATGATGCATCCAATGAATCACAACAATCATTTATTAACCGAAGGTAAGCCAAACATGTTTATAGTATTTCATGTGATTGGTTGTCTCTGTATAGAAAAGTCTAAACAAATAGATTTTGAAATTTTGATATACTCGAAGGCTTTGGCAGTAAAAGTTTGCTAAAGAAACTGTCTTCTTAATTTTATTAGGAAGGAAGGGGTGCATGTTTATATAATGAAGTATGGCTATGGAAACTATAGACATCCTATTGGGAATTAGGTACAAGTCAATTAGTAATTATGTTTTCATCGATAGAATCAACTTCAACACCTTCAGAGGCACAATGTAGCCTAATAATAGGGCCATAGGTTAGTATAAAGTACACTTTTTTGGGATTAATATATAATTTCTCCACTTGAAATGTGTTGAGGACTACATCAATTTGTTCCAAAAGGTCTAGCTCTAAAGAAATGCTCATAAGGGCATCTTTTTTTGTGCTTAATCACAATGCATAGAAAGATACTTAAAAAAATTATACATTAATGTGCATCATCCACCTTTCTTTAAATTCACCGAGAATTTTAATGATTGTTTACAATTTGTTATTTTTATGAATTTATATACAATGGTAATTCTGTCACACATTGTTCTTTGAAAGAAAGTCTCTAATGATTATTTTAACGTGTCATATATCATGGTATAAGGAACTTGTAATCCACACTAATGTTATCAATGGCTTTCTAAATATGCTAAATTTCATTGTATGTCTTCATCACAAAGTTGACATACATGGACTTAAACCTTTCTTGAAGAAATCACTTATAAGTTCATTGTCCTAATACTTTAGCCTACCATGGTAACAGGGTTCATTTGAAAATGTGGTTGGGAAGCTGTGATCTTTACATGAAATTGATGTATTTTGGACCCTTCATCTCAGCTTACCATGGTCACAGGGCTATGGAAACTATAGACATCTTATTTGGAATTAGGTACAAGTCAATTAGTAATCTTCTTTTCATGAATAGAATCAACTTCAACACCTTTAGAGGCGCAAGGTAGCTAAGAATGGGGCCATAGGCTAGTAGAAATTACAGTTTTTGTGATTAATATATAATTTCTCTATTTGAAAAGTGTTAAGGACTACATCAATTTGTTCAAAACGGTCTAGCTTTAAATAAATGTTCATAAGGGCATCATTTTATTGTGCTTAATTCATAATGCATAAAAAGATACTAAAAAAAATTCACATATAAATGTGCATCATCCGCCTTTCTTTAAATTCACCGAAAATTTTAATGTATGTTTACAATTCGTTATTAGGATGAATTATATATGATGGTAGTTCACTCACATGGCATTCCCTGAAAAATGTAAGTCTCTAATAATTATTTTAACATGTCAAACATCAAGGTATAAGGATTTTGTATTCACACTAATGCTATTAATGGCTTCATTCTTAGACTACATATGCTAAATTTCATCGCATGTCTTCATCACAAAGTTAACATTGCATGGACTTAACCTTTCTTGAAGAAATCACTTATAAGTTCATTGTCCTAATACTTTAGCTTAACATGGTCACAGGGTCCATTTGAAAATTTGGAAGGTTGGGAAGCTATGATCTCGAAATGAAATTGATATAAGTTGGATCCCTCATCTCAACCACTCATTTATGGGTTCCTAAAGATATGGTGCTTAAGTTTCATTAGTATTTTAGTATCTATGTGGTAGGTATGGTTTGCTTTAAAGGATGTTTATTTTGTACTTTAAAAAACATATTTGGATGTTTATTTATTTCACATTTTCATAGTAATTATTTTGAAATAAATGAAAACTCCTTTTGCGGTGTTTCCAAATTTGTAGAAACCCTTATATTTATTTCTAAAAATAAAAATTAAAAAATCTAATTGACAAAAAGATTTTCTGACATAGGTAGGTGTTTTTGGTGATTTCAATGATTCTCCCTAGTAGTTTTGGTGAAGCCAAGATTTTGATTTTGCTTTCCATGTGGCTGTCTTATCGTTTGTTTCAGCAGTAAGTGGAACCTATAGGCGCTAATCATGATATAGTTAGCCTGATTGAGTGTCGTTAGTTTGGTTTATCTGAAAGTTAATTGATTTATTTTTTTTGGAGCCAACCATTTTTTTTCTCATAATCTAAACACCACAATTTTAAAGAATTGTATTAAAGGAGGGACTAATTAAATTGTATGGACATTGTTTGATGTCTCATTATTAGGGTTTTATTTGATAAACTCTTCATTGAGAAATGACTATAAAGCATTAATCAAAATTATATTTAGTTAAACCTTGTAATTCGTTCTTCCCATTTGCTAGAATATAGAATAAAAAAATTTACTAGTTATGTCCTGTATGATGACAATTAGAAACTATAGTAGAAGTAATGCCTAGGGCATTAATAATGGAGTTTTGAAAATTACTTTTTGTGTCTGTAACTTCTCTCTTTATTCTATACAAAAAGGCTAGATTGTGCATATTAGTATTAAGTTTCATTTGGTTGATTGTTCCTATTAGTGAAGTTGTTTAAAAAGCTAGAATAACTTTTTCATATGATTCAAAACTAAAAAGTTAATATTTAACTAATTGATTACACCACATTGTTATTGTTATTTTTAGTACAAAAGACTAAATGTCATGAAAGCATCTTCAAAAATGATCTGACAAATTTTCATCCTAAAAATTAGTCAATATTGACACACAAATTTTAAAATATGTTGAGAATCTATGAAGCACACAAATGTGGTTCCAAAAATTACAGAAGCAAAGAACATCTATCTCATAAGTTCCATGAGTTCATATCTTCTTTTACTCATATACGCTATTTCTGTATTATTTGCCATCTAAAATATAATCAAGGGATTTGCTCCAAAAGTTATGAACTCATGGGAACTCCACTACTTTTGTTGTTTTCATTAAAATCTCCTACTCTATGCAGCTCCTGTCATCAATGATGCGATTCGACAACTTTTCCAAGAAAATGCTCAAGTTTTTGGTCAGATTGTAGCTAATCTTGAAAGATTAAAAGTAAGGAGTTATTTTTTGTTATTTTTTTCTTTTTATTGTCACTATGGTGACTAATAGTGACAAGATAATTTTACTGGACAGTATTTCTTAAATGAAGTGATGTCTATATTACTATTTTCATTGCAAAAGCGAATATTGCTTTGTTTTTTCAACTTGGTTGTTGTAGATGAACCAATTGCCTGAAAACTCTTCTGCTAAGTTACTCTAATTAATTACGCCTTAAATTTTGTGATTCACACGTTTGCTTTCATGTATTATTTGCAAATTTTATTGTTGACGTTAAAAAATAATTAAAGAATCAATAATATTTTAATCAAGTTTAATCAACTTAAATAATATTGAGCCAACTGGTTTCCCCGTATGTATACTCCCGTTCACTTATAGAGCGTAAGAGATTTCATGTTTGAAGGGTAAAAAGCCTGACGACAATCTTGTAAGGGGGCAGCAGGTTGTTTTTTCACTGTTCTTCCTCTTATTTGGGGGCTTTGCAACAATGACGGGATCAAAGCATATGGCTTTGCAACAATGACGGGATCAAAGCATATGGAGCCCTCCAAAGCTCTCTCAAAACAAAAATAAAAATAAATGCAGATAGTTCACGGGGAGGCGATCGTAATTTTCGTAACCCACATTTATTTGCTTTTACCATTTTGAATGAGGGCAGGGCTTTCTAACTAATTTTGTTTGTAATTTATAAATATACAAAGTTCAGGAACAATTTTGGCAAACTGCAAATTTTCTTCATGCCTTAAATCAGCAGTTGAACATGTGCGGCTGCCTGTTATTTTTGTTTTTCCCATTATTCATTCAATGCTAAACAATGCTCTATGCTAAGGTGGACTATTCTTTGTCTTCATTTGAATTTTGTGTGCTTGTATATCTTAGTGAAGCTACCTCTAGTACTAAAATATATTAACATCTGTTGCTGGATTTGTGAAGATAAGTTTTTTGTAAGTTATTATAAAATATTAATACTGTGAAACTTGATGGCTAATGATCTGATTATCTGACTCATCACTGTAGTTTGAATTTGCATGGCTTGAATTCTATCTGAAATTTTCATGTAGGGCTGAAAATTAGCCTAATTTTTTGCCGTTAGCTAAGTTTCATTTTTATTAGATTTTTCATATTACAACAAGAGCTAAAAATTATTTGTTTAAAAAAAATAATATGCAATATCTCAAATTCTTTAGGCAAATTATCAGATGATACACATTTCTACTGTGCTTCTATGTTATACTTATAAATAAATTTCCGTTATTTTTTGTTTTCTAATGTGTTTGATGATGCAAATAATGTGATGCTCATTAATTTTCAACGATATCTGACTTGATGAAGCCATCTAGTTCATTACAGTTAAAAGCTCTCATCAAATTTATTTACATAAAGCATCTCATATTTCCCTTAGGTTCAAGACAATGCTGATCTCTTTTTACGCACAAGGAATAACATCACGGCCATTCTCAACAGGTATGACATGTTTTCGAATTAATGATATCTATGCTTGATATTTTTTGGAAGATTTACAGGCATAATGCTCAATTCCTCTATGTTTATATATTTAACACCTATACCTTAATTTTTTCATTCATACCATCTTACCTATGCATGAAAGATGTATTTCACTTTTTAATGTGATATGAAAAATTTGGGCGCAAATGGCGGTATTTTTGATGTGATATGAAAAATTTGGGCGGTATAAATATAAATGCATAAGAAATGGGTGGTATGAATGCAAATGCCCCGCCTTTATTTTTTTTGCTCATTATTTTGATATAATTTCCTAAAGGAGGTTCATTTCTGTGAATAAATAGCATGAGTGGAATGCCTGGAATAATGAGTCAGATGCCACCATTGCCGGTGACAATAAACGAAGATCTTGTTACCAGCATCCTCCCAAACACAACTCAAGTAAGCTTCCAAGCACTTGGAATTATTTCCTTAACAACTTGTTTATGCCATGATTGATTTTCACAATATTACAAACTTTGAAGATCCTAGTGCTTTCTTTTGCAAGATATTCCCTATATACTTTTTTTATTTTTACTAGCACTAGAAGTACATCCGTCAGTAAGTTTGTATGAATCATAAATCCATCATTCATGATTGTAGCAAAATTCTGAAATTTGTTCTTAAAAATAAATATATTCTTAAAAATAAAAATAAAAGACGAAATTGATCCCAAACAGGCCGTAAAAAATGGTATCAACTGCTTCATTATATGCCGTGCTTCGTAAAATTCATCACTTGTTTTACTTCTCATATCCTCTCCTGAAAATGTTATTGTTTTTAAATAAATATGCTTCTAACTTACTTTCCTTCAAAATCTTTTTGCATGTCCCGAAGGCATTAATATTCAATTCACCCAATGGCATTAATGTGAAGCAAGAGCCAAGGCCCTAAGAAACCTTAAAAACGACTTTTCTTTCTGTAAATGCTCCACGAGCTTTCTTCTTCTGTACAACACCAAGAGAATTCTGTAAAGATCACACAAACGTCTAGCAATAAAAGCCTTCCCAAGAGTTTAAGAATTCTCACTCTAGTACATGTTTGGCCTCCAGTTTAGAGGCCTTCTATTACATCTAGAGATAGAGAGAGAGAGGGAGATAGAGAGATAGAGAGTGAGAGAGAGAGAGCTTGGGATGCCAACCTTTCTCAAGGTGCATGAAGAAGAATATGATTCTTTAATGATGTTTCATGGTTTAATCTTCATTACATTATTGGTTGTCATCTCAAAATAACTAAGGAATGTGCAACTGTTTTAGCTTTTACTTAATCACAGTGTCTGTTTCTTCTTCTGTTCTTTTTTTTTTCTTTTTTGATTACTATTGCTACGGAAGCTTTACATATATGCCACAGAATTTTTTTGTATTAACGTATTTAATGCCTAAATTTTGATATTTACACTTGTAATGCCTTTGTGTGGGTGAACCTATGCATGAAAATGTGAATTTTACTTTGAAAAAGATACGCGGCGGTGATATTTTTAATGTAATGTCAAAGATTTGAGTGGTGCGCATGTAAATATGAGAGTTTAGGAGTTAGATTTGTAAATACGTATGAATTGTGTGGTATTTATGTAAATGCCTCTTATTATTATTATTCTTTGCTGGTCTGGTGCTCTATTCTTCCTAGCATGGTGATGCTTGATGGAAGTGATACTGTTACTGCATCTTATGGCTGCTGCATAATATTGTTTTTTCCAAAACAAGGGGTTTGTTAGGTAATGCAAAGCACTGCCAAGTTATTTGAGTATTGTGTATTGTTCTTAAAAAAAATGGGAAGATTTACATGTATACCTCAATTTCAATTTATTTACATATCTAACATTTGAACTTTAATTTTTTACGTTTATATCGCCTTATCTATGCATGAAAATGTTTGTTTTAGACAAGGCATGATAATGTTTATTTTACTTTTTAAAAGTTTAAATAATCATGTTTTTATATGATATGAAAGATTTGCATGATTGGTATAAATATAAAAAATACATCTTTGTTGGTTAGATATGTGAATACATAGGAGTTGGGTAGCATGTATGTGAGAAAGCAATGTTTAATTCAAACAATGTTGATGATTAAGGTTCTCAAAAGGCTCTTGTTCGTGTTTCGAAGTAGCTCGTGCTTGTTAAGTGAGTTGAACAGGAATAATTTTTTTAAGCTTGATATATAATATGCTAAACATGAACTAACATTTCATTCGATCGAAAGCAATGTTTAATTCAAACAATGTTGATGATTAGGGCAGTTAAAAGAGTTGGTTTTTTTCTAAAGGCGCCTTGTCGGG